AAATCAATAGGGGTCACCTTATAGTCATGATCAACATCCGTGCCAAATATGAAGACTGGGTCAAAGGAATCTTAAGTAAATGGGTGGACAAACTTTTTGAAGTCAAAGTCCATATGACCTTGACCTTTGATCCAGTGACCTCAAAATCAAAAGGGGTCATCTTCTAATCATGATCAACATCCATGCCAAATATGAAGACTGTGGGTCAAAGGAATCTAAAGTTATTGGGCAGACAAACTTTTTGAAGCAAAGGCCCCTGTGACCTTGACCTTTGACCTGGTGACCTCAAAGTCAACAGGGGTCATCTACTAATCATGACTAACCTCCATGCCAAATATGAAGACTGTGGGTCAAAGGAATCTAAAGTTATTGGGCAGACAAACTTTTTGAAGCAAAGGCCCCTGTGACCTTGACCTTTGACCTGGTGACCTCAAAGTCAATAGGGGTCATCTACTAATCATGACTAACCTCCATGCCAAATATGATGACTGGACCAAAGGAATCTTAATTTATTGGCCAATCTTTTTGAAGTCACAGCCCCTGTGACCTTGACCTTTGACCTCAAAATCATAAGGGGTCATCTACTAATCATGACTAACCTCCAAGCCAAATATGATGACTGTAGGGTATAGGAATCTTAAAATATTGGGCGGACAAGCTTTTTGAAGTCAAGGGCCCTGTGACCTTGACCTTTGACCTGGTGACCTCAAAATCAAAAGGGGTCATCTACTAATCATGACTAACCTCCATGCCAAATATGACGACTGTAGGTCAAAGAAATCTTAAGTTATTCGGCCGACAAGCTTTTTGAAGTCAAGGCCCCTGTGACCTTGACCTGGTGACCTCAAAATCAAAAGGGGTCATCTACTAATCATGACTAACCTCCATGCCAAATATGAAGACTATGGGTCAAAGCAATCTTAAGTTATTGGGTGGACAAGCATTTTGAAGTCAAGGCCCCTGTGACCTTGACCTTTGACCTTGTGACATCAAAATCAATAGGGGTCATCTACTAATCATGACTAACCTCCATGCCAAATATGACGACTGTAGGTCAAAAGAATCTTAAGTTATTGAGCGGACAAGCTTTTTGAAGTCAAGGCCCCTGTGACCTTGACCTGGTGACCTCAAAATCAATAGGGGTCATCTACTAATCATGACTAACCTCTTTGCCAAATATGAAGACTAAGGGTCAAAGGAATCTTAAGTTATTGGGCGGACAAGAAAAAACCGACGGACGGCCGGACAAGCTGATTCCAGTATACCCCCTTACAACTTTGTTGTGCGGGGGTATAATTATAGCAAATGTGTTTGGCAAAAATGTGATGAGATAATATGCAGAACAGGGGTTTGGGCTCTCTCAGATCAATATTGGCCCAGTCTGGGGGTCACGTAATTTGTAAAGGAATCTTACTGTGTTAAACAATGATTCATGATCTTAGATACTTGGCATATAGCATTGTTCAGAGGGCCTCTACGAAATTAAGCACAATCCTTGGAAAATATGAGTGCAATCCATAAGGATTACTTAGTTTATGTAGACTTGATAATATAATAAACATATCTAAATTATTTTCACTCCTAAAATTGTTATGCCCAGAGTTTCTGTACATGTCTGTCCATCTGTTTGTGCTTTTCAACTTCATTTGTGTTCAGACTGTAACTGTTGTGCATTGAAAGATTTTAAAATGACTAGGCAAAAATGTCGATCTCATCAAGACGATGTGATATGTCCAAATATCACATCCCTACCTCAAAGGTCAAGGTCACAATACCATGTTGAAGTTCCTTCCATCACAATTAGAGTTTGTAGGTACACATATTTGTGTCTGCACTGTAACTGTCATGCATCAAAGGATTTTAAAATTAGTATGCATAAATGTCTACCACATCAAGTCAATGTGTCCAAGACACATGTTCCTTCCTCCAAGGTCAAGGTCACTCTTACAGTTTGAAGGTACATATCCTCTGGAGAAGAGTTTAAAGATACACATTCATGTCCAGACTGTAAATTTGTCATGCATCGAGGGATTTTGAAATAACTTTGCACAAATGTCTGTCACATGAAAACATTTCTTTTTTTCAAAATTGTTGCAAGAACCACATCCCTTCTTCAAAGGTCAAGGTCACTCATATTTTTAAGGTTCAGGCTATCACAGAGATGATAGGTACACACTTTTCTGTCCGAACTATAACTCTGTCATGCATTGAAGAGTTTTAAAATAACTTGGCACAAATGTCTACCACATCAAGATGATGTGTTCTGTGAAAGACCATGTTTCTTCCTCCAAGGTCAAGGTCACTCTAATAGTTTGAAGGTACTTATTTATGCTCATAAGAAGAGTTTGAAGGTATACATAAGTTTCCAAACTATTATTTACATGCATTGAAGGATTTTAAAATATCTTGGCATAAATGTCTACCGCATCCTAGACCCTTGTCCCAAATGGTTAAGTTTCCTATAAATAGCACTTCATTTCACAAGAACAATATTAAGCAATTACATGTAGTTACTCTCAGTTTCTTTACTTTTTATGCACCCGCCATGTAATGGCCGGGGCATATAGTGTTACCCTGTTCCGTCCTTCTGTCAGTCCGTCATCATCAGTTTCCGTTCATTATCTTAAGAACAGTTGCACACATTCAACTCAAATTTGACATATGGATATGTCTTGAGAAAATACAGGTCAAGTTCGAAATTGGTCATGGTTCGATGATTTTTGGCAGAGTTGTGCCCCCTTTACTCTGAAAATAATATGAAATTTCAGTTTCCGTTCTTTATCTCCCCAACGGTACAACACATTCAACTCAAACTTGACATATGGATATGTCATTAGAAAATACAGGTCAAGTTCGAATTTGGTCATGGTTCGATGATTTTTGGCAGAGTTATGCCCCTTTTACTTTGAAAATAATATGAAATTTTCAGTTTCCGTTCATTATCTCACCAAAGGTACAACACATTCAACTCAGACTTGACATATGGATGCGTCAAAGTAATCCGCAGGTCAAGTTCATATTTGGTCATGGTTCGATGATTTTTGGCAGAGTAATGCCCCTTTCACTTTGAAAATAATATGAAATTTACAGTTTCTGTTCAATATCTACCCAACAGTGTTACATATTCAACTTAAATTTGACATATGGATATGTCAAAGGAATGGGCAGGTCAAATTGGAATTTGGTCATGGTTTGATGATTTTTTTTTGGCAGAGTTTATGTCCCTTTCACTTTGAAAATAATATAGATACATCTTAGGAATTAGCAGTTTAAGTTGAAATTTGGTCATGATTTTAGACAAAACTTATCTTTCCTGAATGTAGGAAAAATTGTGAACTTTCAGTTTCAGCACTCGTTACTTTTAGCCATTTATTTTGGCTACAAATATGTGATATGCTATTTTTAAAGGTTAAAGACTGAATAATTTAAGTGCCTTGAAACATTGTATGAAAATGGTTTGTGTGTTAACATTGAAAAGTTTTAAAGGGCTTTGAACTTAAAAATGAAAAAAATAATTAATGCACCATTCTGAAATTTTTGGGCTTATGCATCGGGGGCATCCGTGGCATTGATGACACATTTCTAGTCTTAATACTGCATGCTTAAGAAACTTTTTTGGGGCATATGTCACTTGCATGACAGCTCTTTATGATTACTCGGGTTATAATTTTGAATATGAATTGCCTAGCCTTTGCAGTGCTCCTATTGGCTTATGAATTTTTTTATACCTCGATGAGTTGTTTACATTAGGTCAATGATATTCCACACGAGGGATTACTTGTATTAGTATAGAAATTTACAGCAAAAATCTTAAAAGTTGTGGGTTCGAAGGCAGTATAATGGACATGTGATTTGGACAAGTACTGGCCTCACCCTGTAGGTCACCAGTTTCTGTTGGGACTTAAAAAACCCAGACAGTCTGAAGGACAGTTTATCCCCTTCTGATGTGTAGTTGTGTACTTCTTGATGTTTAACAAACCGCGACCTTGAGAGTAATCATTTGTGCCAAGTTATGTAAAATCTTACCTAAAGTCAAAAAAGTTATAAGAACATTTAAATTTGACCTTGGGGAAGCAACTTGGATGTTGAATTCTGCACATTATGTCATAATTTCTGCTTAGTCATGTTAAAAACATTGCCTTTTAAATGTTCTGGAGGGAACATGAAATGTACTTTTTAACGCTTGACCTTTAAATGTGACCTTGACTTTTGGGAAGCAAACCCATTTATTGAGCTCTGCACATCATCTCCTAATGGTGTTTACTTGTGCCAAGTTGTTACAAATTTTTTTTAGTGATGAAATGTAGACTTTTAATCTCTACCTTTAAGTGTGATTTTGACCTTTTTGGTAGCAACCCAAGTATTGGGCTCTGCACATCGTCTCATTAAGGTGCCAAGTTATTTAAAAAAAAAATTTATGTTAAAGACAGTCAAATCATCCCACTTATGTTCACTCTGTACGAGTTCTGTTCAGCTTATGAAAGCATCCTGGTTTGTGCATGTACTCGCATCAATTTGTTCAAATGAGAATGTGCAGTAACTAACATTTGGACTGGTATCATATGACCTTTACAGTAACGATGCAAAAACCAAATCTGAAAAATGGTGTTCACTTCTGGTGTCAGATAATATTTGAAGTCACCATGACTTTGTACAACTAAAAAAGAAGTCAGATTCACCGGAAGGCCAGTAATAATAGAAGCGTTTTTGTCACAAAAACATATCTCGCAAAACTATGTATGGTTCTGATCACTCCTGTGAATTTTGGTGCAAATCCTGTCAATTTTGGCAGCGAAGTGGAACAGATTGGCAATATGCCAAACTAGGGAAAGTAATGATCACTCCTGTGAAATTTGGTTGAAATCCCATCAGCAGTTTGACCTTTGAAAGCCAGACATGCTAATTGTGGACACATGGACAGACATTAACTGCAAAAACAATGTCTCCAAAAAACTTTGTGAGACAATTGTATATAGACATAAAAACCAACAAGTTTCTAATGCTCATTAAATGTATTTTAGAAAACATAACAAGAATATATATATAAATGACAACAAACAAAATGTGTATCAATGGACCATATGCTCGAGTATTCCTTGTCGAATCAAATGCTCACACTCTGATCGCAGCAGAAAATGCTGAAAAATAATAATGCAACATTAATTTATTAGCCTAAGCAAATGCCAAACTCTGTGTTACTTTCATGTCACTTGTACCATAACAAGACATGCTGTTAGAAACAAGTCAAGTGCCCCCAAACCTGGGCCCACTAAAAGAAAAATCTGACTTACATGTAAGGTATGGTTGCTTGCTAGCAAAAAGAAAATTCACAAACTTCTTTTTCCAAATTGTTTTAAAAAGCATCTATGAATGGACAAAAAAGATATGACCAACTATCAATGTGGTATTTTAACAATAAACTTTAACCATGACTATGCTTGCTGTCTACCCAGCCTTTGCCTGTGACGAGTTTTCTTTATGTACCACAAAAATACCCCACTAGTAGTTATTTCAAATACCATCCACTGACCATGAATGACAGACTTGATAAGCCAGACACAATCTCCATGAAAAATTTCTTTTCAAGTTAAGTAAAAGAAGGTGCATGAGGTTATTTGTGCAGTCAGACAGGCAATTAAATAACATAAGCATTTCTTATAAAGAGATCACCTTTTAACAATACAAACTAAAAAACCTACATAAAAAATACTTTCTATGGTATGTAGAATTGCAAAGCATAACTAGAATGTATACAAGTCTTTGGTGTACGAAATTCAAAGAACAGTCTAAAAGATATTCCAAATGAAGGTTTTAAAGACTTGAATAAAGCTTTCATGCTGCTATTGTGTTAACTTTGCTTCACTGTAGGAAAAGAAGATGCATTATCTTCAAATACCTGACTATTTTTCTTTAAAACAATGATATTTCCATCTTGTGTTTCAAATTCACCATGGTCTACCATACAGCGAACCTGAAGGGAGAAATATAACGAAAGTTATAAGTACTCCAACCAATTTTTTATTATATTGTGTTAGAATTACTATAACTAGTCTAAGTCGATACTGTATAAACTTTAATCATAGTATCATCATTTTATAATAGTAAATGCATATTACAAAAACTCAAACTTAACAGAAAATTAGTAACTGAGATCACCATTGCAAAAAAAAATCAAATACATGTATTTTGAAAACCGAAGTTTTCCTACAAGTTTGAAATCGGAGTATTTTTTTATAAGTTTCTTTAAGTATATATATATATATATATATATATATATATATTATATATATATATATATATATATTATATATATATACACATATTAAATTGTGTCTTGTTCATTTTTAAGTCATCTTAACTTGAAAGTACTGTACACTGATAGTGTATTGTAATAATCAATTAAATCCTTTCTTGGCCTAATATATGGAATGAATTTGTCCTATTTTGAATTTGGACATTAGTACTTTTACAAAATTCTGTAACAAAATTATAACCGTTAAAGTATTCCGCTAAGATTATTACAGTATTACAGACTGGCCAGTTTGTACAAGCAGCATTTCTGAAAACTTCATTCCAGAAATAAAATAACTACATGTAATTGTATATATGTGTTCAAGATAAACATTGACCAAACTGATAAATACACCTTTAATAATCAAACATGATTAAGATATGAAATTTGTTTCAGTTATTGTCAGGAAATCTTGGACTATCAGCAAACCTGATCTTATAAGTTATAACAATGCAGATCAGTTATTTTAATCGATGAGCCCTTAAAACAATACAAGTCTTTTGCTGAGCATAAAAAGACTCTGAAGCTAAAGCCTTCAGTAACATTTTATTCTGTTTAAGAGCATAGTATTCATGTGTGTTTAATGATAAAAGAAACACTCTATGTTACAACTCCTTCGAGTATTGACCATAAGAATACTGTGAAACTAAATAATTTAACTGTTTTTAATTTTTATAAAAGTATTTCATTCAATACAGCTTCATGCCTTTTAATGAAGTAATCAGACATACCTCAACATATAATGTCTTTGGTGGTTTCATGTCTTGTGTAAGGTCAAGGCCACCTGCACCTCCTATAGACCTCATGTAATTAGCTAAACATTTGTTATATTTACTAAACCACTGTATCTAAAAAAAAGAGATAACACATTTCAATGCAAAAGATATTAAAAATATATAAAATACTACATGATACATACAAGAAGCGCCGCAATGCAACGAAAACCAGTTTTTCAACGACTAAATTTTGATGTGACAGCAATCAATAGGTCAAAGTACACTGAAGTTAATGAGTAGAAGCTGAAAATTCTATTGTAAGCAAATGACCTTGAACTTGCTCCCAGATATCTAAGTAGCAATCCAAAGCTGCCACTCAGCAAGTTTATTGTCAAAAGGTCAAAGCAAACTCAAGTTATAACATGAAAACTAAATACATTAACCTTGATCACAGACACCTGGGTAGCAATCCCAAGCTGCCTCTTGATATAAGCTACCCATTCATCAAGTTTGGTGTCAAAAGGCGAAAGCAAACTCAAGATATTGAGCGGAAACTTAATTTCTATTTTTAATAACAGTGACCTTGACCTTAATCACAGACACCTGGATAGCAATCCCAAGCTGCCTCTTGATATAAGCTATCCATACACCAAGTTTGGTGTCAATAGGCCAAAGCAAACTCGAGTTACTGAGCAGAAACTGAAATTCTATTTTTAGTAACAGTAACCTTGACCTTGATAACAGACACCTGGGTAGCAATCCCAAGCTGCCTCTTGATATAAGCTATCCATACACCAAATTAGGTGTCAATAGGCCAAAGCAAACTCAAGTTATAGAGCAGAAACTGAATTTCTATTTTTAGTAACAGTGACCTTGACCTTGATCACAGACACCTGGGTAGCAATCCCAAGCTGCCTCTTAATATAAGCTATCCATACACCAAGTTAGGTGTCAATAGGCCAAAGCAAACTCAAGTTATTGAGCGGAAACTGAATTTCTATTTTTAGTAACAGTGACCTTGACCTTGATCACAGACACCTGGATAGCAATCCCATGCTGCCTCTTGATATAAGCTATCCATACACCATGTTTGGTGTCAATAGGCTAAAGCAAACTCAAGTTATTGAGCGGAAGCTGAATTTCTATTTTTAGTAACAGTGACCTTTACCTTGATCACAGACACCTGGGTAGCAATCCCAAGCTGCCTCTTGATATAAGCTATCCATACACCAAGTTTGGTGTCAATAGGTCAAAGCAAACTCAGTTATTGAGCGGAAACTGAAATTCTATTTTTAGTAACAGTGACCTTGACCTTGATCACAGACACCTGGGTAGCGATCCCACGGTTCCCATTGATATAAGCTATCCATAAACCAAGTTTGGTGTCAATAGGCCAAAGCAAACTAAAGTAATTGAGCGGAAACCAAAAGTTGACGCCCGCCGCCTGCCGCCGACTTCGGCATTACAATAACCCGGTTTTCGTTGAAAACCTGGTTAACAAGAGCTGTCCGTAAGACAGCGCGCTCGACTTTTTTATTGCTTGCCAATAAAAAAAGTTTTTGCAGTAAAAGGCAATACAAGAATCTCTGTATTTTTAAAGTGAACAATGGCCATGAGCATTAAGATATTTAGTGAAGAATTATTTTATTATGACATAATTTATGGTAAAGTGAACAAGTGGATAGGAATGAATTTTTTTAGATTTTTTAAGTTTTTTAGTGCTTGCCTATAATACAAAACATTGACAGTTAAGGGCCATAATTCAAATAAAATCTTTGACAGAATTACCTTCTCCTGGACATGTTTGGGAATCATGATTGTAAACAAGTATTCCAACTTTCAAATTAATATCTCAAACAGTTCAGTCAAAAAGTGGACTGGTACTAAAAACTTAACCAAGATTCTAAGTCGATAAAAGGCCTTAATTTTTAAAACAAATCCTTGACAGAGTTACCTTCTCTTGCGTACAGATGGGGGTAATGATGTGAAATAGCATTAAAAGTTTCAAAGCAATATCTCAAAGGGTTAAGGCAATAAGTGGATTTACCCATATTCAATGTATTTTCTAAGTCAAAAAGGGGCATAATTCTGTCAAAAACCTTGACAGAGTTATGTCCTCTTGTCTGTTGATGAAGGTCGTGATGGTAAACAAGTATGGTCAGTTTTCAAAGCAATACCTCCAATGGTTTTGAAATAAAGTGAGGTGGTACAAAAAACTTAACCAAGCTCAATACACTTTCTAAGTCAAAAAAGGGCCATAATTCTGTCAAAAACCTTGACAGAGTTATGTACTCTTGTCTGTAGATGGAGGTTATGATGGTGAACAAGTATGGTAAGTTTCAAAGCCATACTTGTAATACTTCTGAAATAAAGTGGGGTGGTACGAAAAACTTAACCAAGGTGTGACGCCAACGCCGACGCCGGGGCGAGTAGGATAGCTCCCCTTTTCATAGAAAAGTCGAGCTAAAAATGAATAATATACATGTTCTATTCATAACATAATTAATAAACAAATCAATAAAATGCTTGCGACTAAGAAACTTGAAAGAGTTCCACTAAGTTATTCCTCACTCACAATATCAAAGAACATGGCTTTGCAGTTTTGAAGTTTTCCCCGATAAACATACATCTCTATATAAACCTATTTTATGTGCACCTGACTTTGGGCCAATTTGACAAAATGGCCAGGATTTAAACAAACATGATAAAATCAACTTGGTAATTCCCAATTAAAATATTAAAGCTTTACGCTTTGTGATTTTGGAGAAGGTTTTCCCCCTCAATATAATTTAATATCATAAATTTCTTGGTATCAAAATTTTTCTTAAACCCAAGGAGCAATTCTGCCAAATTTGGCTAAGATTGAACAACAAGATTTAAAAAGTCCATATAATGGACACAAGAACACACATACAAGTTAATGGCTATATGTCTTCATAATTATAACAGATTAGAGTTTTAGAGAGAGGAACTATACAAGTTTTCTTTCGTTCTAATCCCTTTCAAGTTTATGTAACAATTATATACATATAAAATGTAATATATGTAAAATATTGAAATAAATATGTTTAACCCTTTCCCCCATGAGCATATTGTGAAAATTGGCCGTTTTCACTGAAAAGCCTCCTGTTACAAGTTCAAACTGCTATGAAACTATGAAAAATGCTTCAATACTAATCAAACTTGGCACAAATGTTGACTGGACCATTGCCTTTGTAACGACATGCTCAGTCTTAAATTTCCTGTTACCATGGCAACGAGGGGACATCTCAAAATTGCCAAAAATCACTATTTTGCCTTGATTTTTTCCATCAAAATTTATTTCAAAGTGCTACAACTTCTCAAGGGATTGAGATAGAGTCAAAGGCTTTTCAGCTTTGGTTACACGTTTCATTATGATTGACCTGGGGTCATTTTTAGCCTCTCACAAGTCCAAAATTTTCTTGGCGATGAGGGGGACTCCGCCCCCCTTCAAACCCCCATAACAGAAGGGGGCACATCCCCCTTCTGGCAACCCCCTGATGTATCTTTTGGATGGGGGGCGGCGCCGAAAAAGTGCTCATTTTTTTTAGCAACATTTCTCAAACGAAAACATGTGTTTGGGGCCCAAATAGGACATTTTTTCACTATTTGAGGCCTAAAAAAAAAGGGGGGGGGGGCGAAAGTGCCTTGTTTCGCGTATATATGAGGTAAAGGGTTAAACTAATTATCACAAATCATGAGATGCTGCCGTGGCATTAAATTATCCAAATGTTCTGACTTTGCTGACTAATAGGTTTAAATTTCAATTACAATTTAACAGATCCAAAGTAAATTATATTAAGTACCACTTTTTAACTTTTTTTACCATAAAGCCATGAAAAGCTGTATAAGTTAACAAAAACTTCAAGTTAATTATAAGTTAAATACAATTTTTATCTTTAGCATACACAATCATGTACAGCAATTATGGGAAAGACATGAAACATATCAACAGTCTGGCCATATAATGATTTCTTGACTTTATACTTAAGTTCTTTATTTCAAATTTAGCATTCCAATTTAAAATAGCTTACTTCCTGTTCCGAGAGGTTATATTTAACATCTTGTGGTAACACACTTCCAAACTCCCATCTCATGTTACGAATTTTTAAAATTCTGTTATACCTGAAAATAATTTTAAAATAAACATAACATAAACAACTTCAAATAAATTTACAGAATATAAAATGATATGTTACTCTTATTCAAATTATCTTATAAAAATCTCCCAGACTGAAATATTTGATCTTCATAATATTTGCCACAAAATGGGGTACAAGATAAAATATAGATAATCTGTAATGTTGTTACCAGGTTTGTAACCTGACTTATCAATAACAACCCAACATTTACATGTTTAAACATATTTTGGGGCAAAATGAACTTTCCCTTTATCTTTCTTAAAAGTGAAACTGGCAGAAAAATTGGCCCCGTCTCCCTCTGGTGATCACTGTAAAGTACCACAGTTTAAATGGTACCATTCTCATTACAAGCAAAAAATTGTAAACACTGGAGCCTTATATATCAATAAAGAGTATTGTTGTTGATGTTAGTTACACCCTACAAAATTATATGTCTAACATTGACTTAAACCTTTATAAATAAAACTGAAAGAAAATGCTGCATTACATTATATTAGACTAAATATAGAAACATGGAATGGTTCTTGCAAAGCTTTTTTTCATGAATTACAGGTATAACAGATTTGAACCACTGGCACTACAGTCTACTGACATTAACATAGACGACCTGACCCTGATAAGGACATCTGCAAAATGTTTTAACAATGTATCATGTAATAAGAAAGTTATTAAAATGGAGAAGAAAATTGATACACGTAATTTGACCTTTAACTTTTATATGCTACCTTGACCTTGAAGGTACATTGGTTGCACACGCATTACATACACAATAAGGGTAAACACTATATGCCTTTTCACCTAGTGACCAATGAGAAAACATCTAACAAATGTTTTAACAATTTATCAAAGAATAAGATAGTTATAAGCCAAAGAGGAAGCAAGCACACTGTGTGTCACAATTTGACATCCAAGTGAAACATTGACCATGAATGTGTGGATGTACTACTTGCGCAAAACACATCCTATAACAGTGTTGAAGGCTATGCAAATATTTTTACAACCCATCATTTTACAACAAAGTATATGTTTGTTTTTAGATATAAAAGCTGGACACAATTTTGGTTACACACAGAGGTAGTGTTTTTCTAATCTCCAAATTGCTCATGACACATTATTCACCTGATAGGCCCAGCCACCTTTGACAAAAATGTGGGGGGAAAATCTATGACATGGGAAACAATTTTGCAGTTTTCAAAATTTGCTTGCATTTTGTATGAGCTGAAATTTGAACCCATGAGCATAAATAGACAACAAATTACAAATCTATTAGATTAATTTCTTTCCCCTTGAACATTAAATAATGAAACAAAACTATAAGTGTGATAAAAACTTACAAGTATGCCAGTAAACATCTTTTATTTCTTTCCAAAGCAGCATGCCTTAGCTGAACACCAGAAAATAGTCCACTTTCACCAGCAACAGTAGCACTCCTGTTTGATAATATGTATACAAATACTTCAATGTTGATTATTTCTATGGTGAATACAAATTTTAATACTATTCTACTAATTGCATAACATTACAGACATTACATGTTTTGTTGTATAAATATTATATTTCTTTTTTAATACACATTCTTATCTTACAATCTATCTACTATTATTTTCTTTTTTTTTAATGTATTTTTTAAACAACTGTCAAAAACTACATGTTAATGCAATTGGTCACTCAGCATAAAAGGACTTACACATCTTTCTGGTTTTGATCAAACAAAGCCCTCATTTCCTCCAACACTTGCCTAACTCGGTCCTCCTGAAATGTTTTTAAAAGATAAAATATATAAACTTATAGCATAGTTGATATTGTATACAAATAATACATTATCTAACATGCAATGAGATGAACATCAGAGATGGCACTAAAGACTTTCACATTAAAATACCTTAATCAAATGTTTATATCAAATTCTCTATATTGCACTATCTGTGAAACAATCCGTGTCTGGCAAAATAATGCACCTTGCATAGAAATGTAGTAGTCAAATTCCATGTAAGTCGGCAGTACTAAGTATTAAAAAGGCTTTTAAGAAAAATATCAAAAGATGACCTTAACTAAGGTAATATTGATCTTAAAAGATTAGAAAAAACTAGAACTGCCACTATCTTGGCGTGAATACCCCCGCATACCACTTTGTCAGAATCAACAGTGGCCATTTAGAGCGCAAGGACAACCTCCCTGCCAAATCTGAGGTTACTAAGCCAGTGCATTGCTAAGTTATGTATTCTACATGCTTCAAATGTGAAAATGTCAAAATCAATACATTGCAGACAGGACATTCATTAGCAATTGAGAAGAAAAGCTTTTTTTTTTTGTCAAGGTCCCTGTGACCTTGAACTTTGACCCAGTGACCTCAAAATCAATAGGGGTCACCTTATAGTCATGATCAACATCCATGCCAAATTTGAAGACTGTGGGTCAAAGGAATCTTAAGTTAATGGGTGGACAAACTTTTTGAAGTCAAAGTCCCTATGACCTTGACCTTTGATCCAGTGACCTCAAAATCAAAAGGGGTCATCTACTAATCATGACTAACCTCCATTCCAAATATGAAGACTGTGGGTCATAGGAATCTTAAGTTATTGGGCGGACAAGCTTTTTCAAGTCAAGGCCCCTGTGACCTTGACCTTTGACCTGGTGACCTCAAAATCAATAGGGGTCATCTACTAATCATGACTAACCTCCATGCCATATATGAAGACTGTGGGTCATAGGAATCTTAAGTTATAGGGCTGACAAGCTTTTTGAAGTCAAGGCCCCTGTGACCTTGACCTTTGACCTGGTGACCTCAAAGTCAATAGGGGTCATCTACTAATCACGACTAACCTCAATGCCAAATATGAAGACTGTGGGTCAAAGGAATCTTAAGTTATAGGGCGGACAAGGTTTTTGAAGTCAAGACCCCTGTGACCTTGACCTTTGACCTGGTGACCTCAAAGTCAATAGGGGTCATCTACTAATCATGACTAACCTCCATGCCAAATATGACGACTGTGGGTCAAAGGAATCTTAAGTTATTGGGCGGACAAGCTTTTTGAAGTCAAGGCCCCTGTGACCTTGACCTTTGACCTGGTGACCTCAAAATCAATAGGGGTCATCTACTAATCATGACTAACCTCCATGCCAAATATGACGACTGTGGGTCAAAGGAATCTTAAGTTATTGGGCGGACAAGCTTTTTGAAGTCAAGGCCCCTGTGACCTTGACCTTTGACCTGGTGACCTCAAAATCAATAGGGGTCATCTACTAATCATGACTAACCTCCATGCCAAATATGACGACTGTGGGTCAAAGGAATCTTAAGTTATTGGGCGGACAAGCTTTTTGAAGTCAAGGCCCCTGTGACCTTGACCTTTGACCTAGTGACCTCAAAATCAATAGGGGTCATCTACTAATCATGACTAACCTCCATGCCAAATATGACGACTGTAGGTCAAAGGAATCTTAAGTTATTGGGCGGACAAGCTTTTTGAAGTAAAGGCCCCTGTGACCTTGACCTTTGACCTCAAAATCAATAGGGGTCATCTACTAATCATGACTAACCTCCATGCCAAATATGACTACTGTAGGTCAAAGGAATCTTAAGTTATTGGGCGGACAAGCTTTTTGAAGTCAAGGCCCCTGTGACCTTGACCTTTGACCTAGTGACCTCAAAATCAATAGGGGTCATCTACTAATAATGACTAACCTCCATGCCAAATATGACGACTGTAGGTCAAAGGAATCTTAAGTTATTGGGCGGACAAGCTTTTTGAAGTCAAGGCCCCTGTGACCTTGACCTTTGACCTAGTGACCTCAAAATCAATAGGGGTCATCTACTTATCATGACTAACCTCCATGCCAAATATGACGACTGTAGGTCAAAGGAATCTTAAGTTATTGGGCGGACAAGCTTTTTGAAGTCAAGGCCCCTGTGACCTTGACCTTTGACCTCAAAATCAATAGGGGTCATCTACTAATCATGACTAACCTCCATGCCAAATATGAAGACTAAGGGTCAAAGGAATCTTAAGTTGTTGGGCGGACAAGAAAAAACCGCCGGACGGCCGGACAGCCGGACGGACGGACAAGCTGATTCCAGTATACCCCCCTTACAACTTTGTTGTGCGGGGGTATAATTAAGATAAAGAAGCATCAAATTTGACATTAAAATCATGGTCCACCTCGTCTCGAGCCATGGTCCAAAACATGGTCTGCCTTTCTCAATCTACAGTCCGCTTTGGTACGGATAGCCCTGTCTTAAGAATCCAGGTCAACTTGGACCTAAAACTAACTCGACCCATAACTATGTATTACTGGTAATGATAACCATTAAAACTTTTTATATATTTTCATAATTATTTTCGTTGTTTATTATTTTCACATTTATACTTATATGGTACTTTAAAAGTTTTATTGGTGAAAGAATGTGAATTTGTAAAGAAAAAGAGAGTTTACAATTTATTATATGTATGTTTTGCCTACTTCAGATACATGTATTTTGTAGAAAATATTGTTAAACAGCATTGGGTGTTATAACGACTTTGTTGGTGATCCTAACACCTTTAAAAAAGAAATATGAACAATTTTTTTAACAGACTTCACCGCTCATAGGCTTTGGCTAATTTCATATTAGGATTTTATTACAGGCCAACTTAACCCGTGTTGAGTAGGTAAAGGCCCAGTCACACTAGATCCCACTTTCTCTGCGTTCGCATAGCGTTGTTAAATTTAACACAGCACCGCGAAATCGCAAGAAAAATCAGATATTTGAGATGACATGAAGATTTCAAGGCGTCTACATGGTGTCCTAACAGCGATCATAGCATAACTACTGAGCTTCTACAGTGTTGTAATGCGTTCTTATGGCGTTTTTATTGGCGATTGTCTGCGTTTGGACTGTGCTTCTAACGTGTTCTTGCACTTCCACGGTGCTAAAATCGTGCTTTACATACCAGCAATTACTCAGGTCTGCATCAGTTGTTTATTCTTATTCCAAACCAATACAAGAGGGCCATGATGGCCCTGGATCGCTCACCTGACACAACCGCATCCAAGCAATGTCTTAAACAAGCATCATGGCCAAGTTTGATGACAACTGAGTCAAACATGTGACCTCTAGTGTGTTATAAAGATTTTTCCATATTTGGGCAATGTGACCCAATTTTTGACCGGACACGACCCATATTCAAACTTGACCTAGAAATCATCATAACAACCTTCCTGACCAATTTCCAGGAAATTTGGATAAAAACTGCAGCCACTAGAGTGTTAAAAAGATTTTTCTATTTTTAGCTCCTGTGACCTAGTTTTTGACCGGACATGACCAATCTTAGCACTTGACCCAGAAATCATCAAAACAACCTTCTTGACAAATTTCAAGAATATTTAGATGAAAACTGCAGCCTCTAAAGTGTTAACAAGCTTTTTCTATTTTTAGCTCCTGTGACCTAGTTTTTGACCTGGGATGACCCATCTTCGAACTTGACCTAGATATCATCAAAACAACCTTCCTGACAAATTTCCAGAATATTTGGATGAAAACTGCAGCCACTATAGTGTTAACAAGCTTTTTCTATTTTTAGCTCCTGTGACCTAGTATTGACTGGAGATGACCCATCTTCGAACTTGACCTAGAAATCATCAAAACAACTTTCCTGACAAATTTCCAGAATATTTGGATGAAAACTGCAGCCACTAGAGTGTAAACAAGCTTTTTCTATTTTAAGCTCCTGTGACCTAGTTTTTGACTGGAGATGACCCATCTTCAAACTTGACCTAGAAATCATCAAAACAACCTTCCTGACCAATTTCCAGGAAATTTGGATAAAAACTGCAGCCACTAGAGTGTTAAAAAGATTTTTCTATTTTTAGCTCCTGTGACCTAGTTTTTGACCGGACATGACCAATCTTAGCACTTGACCCAGAAATCATCAAAACAACCTTCTTGACAAATTTCAAGAATATTTAGATGAAAACTGCAGCCTCTAAAGTGTTAACAAGCTTTTTCTATTTTTAGCTCCTGTGACCTAGTTTTTTGACCTGGGATGACCCATCTTCGAACTTGACCTAGATATCATCAAAACAACCTTCCTGACAAATTTCCAGAATATTTGGATGAAAACTGCAGCCACTATAGTGTTAACAAGCTTTTTCTATTTTTAGCTCCTGTGACCTAGTATTGACTGGAGATGACCCATCTTCGAACTTGACCTAGAAATCATCAAAACAACTTTCCTGACAAATTTCCAGAATATTTGGATGAAAACTGCAGCCACTAGAGTGTTAACAAGCTTTTTCTATTTTTAGCTCCTGTGACCTAGTTTTTGACCGGAGATGACCAATCTTCAAACTTGACCTAGATATCATTAAAACAACTTTCCTGACAAATTTCCAGAATATTTGAATAAAAACTGCAGCCTCTAGAGTGTTAACAAGCTTTTTTATTTTTAGCTCCTGTGACCTAGTTTTTGAGCCGAGATAACCCATCTTCGAACTCGATCTGTATTTCATTCAGACAAACATTCTGACAAAGTTTGATGATGATCCAATCAAAACTGTGACTGCTAGACTGTTAACAACCCAATTGTTAGAGTGTTATAAAGCTTTTTCTATTTTTAGCTCCTGTGACCTAGTTTTTGACCGGAGGTGACCCATCTTCGAACTTGACCTAGATATCATCAAAACAACCTTCCTGACAAATTTCCAGAATATTTGGATGAAAACTGCAGCCTCTAGATCTAGAGTGTTAACAAGCTTTTTCTATTTTTAGCTCC